AGAAGTGCAGGCAGGAACGCACACAGAAACCTCTACACCAATGTTCGCTGCGGCACTTTTCACCAGATCCAAAAGGCGGACACAACTGACATGTCCATCAGCAGATGGTGGGTGAACACAATGTGGTCCAACCACACAATAAAATACCACTCAGTCATAAAGAGAAATGACGTTCTGATGCACGCCACAACATGCAGGAGCTCTGGAAACCTCATGCTAGGTGAAACAAGGCAGTCGCAAAAGGACAAGTACCGATGATCTCACGTCTATGAAATAAGCAAATGTATAGAAACTACAGCTAATTAGTGGTTTCCAAAGGTGGGCAGGGGGCTCAAGGAGGAATTTTTGCTTGGGGGGCACTGAGTTGACATTGATTGTGGTAGAACAATTAGGGAAAAGAGAAAGAGTTTAATCAACTCCATTGAGTGGTGCAGGTAGAAACCGCGGAGTTGTTGACTGTGTTGTATGTATTTTGCACCACGATAAATTAAAAAAAGACAAAGAGAATATGGGTGTCTCAGTTAATTATTGGCCACAAAGTTGGGAGTAGGGGTCGATGATGGGACAAAAAGGTATAAAAAGGGAAGAAAACCTGGTTACTGGCACAGAAGAGGTGTCTGAACGGTGGTGGTGGCTTTTCAAGGCCTTTTCACTCACAGGGAAGGAAACATGGCAGACTGCAGAAACACAGACACAGGTCAGAATCCTGGCTTTGTTACCTGGAGGCCATGTGACCTCCCAACTGCAATGAGGACTACAACTAAAGCCTCTAGCATTGCCTGGGGGACATACTAAAAAATCCCAAACCAGGTGTGAGTTGACTCTGACTCCTGGCAACCCCCTGTATGTCAGGGTAGAACTGTGCTCCACAGGGTTTGGGGGGCTGTAATCTTTAGGGAAATAGAGTGCCAGCCCTTTCTTCTTCTGGGTGGACTTGAACCTCTGACGTTTTCATAAGTAACTAAGTGCTTAACTGATCGTATCACCCAGGAACCCCTCCTGGAACACAGTAAGCACCAGACAGGCAGTTCCTATTACCGCTGTTTCACCTCCCTTCCTTTACATGTCTCATCCATTCTGCGGATGGGCAAAGCAAAAAGGCTCAGCTAGGGGAAGTGACTTTATTCATGTCACGGAGCTGGCGAGGAATGGCCTCTTGTGGCCCCCAGGCCCAGGGCGCTTTCCTTTCTGAACCAAGTTCTGTGGGCGACTTTGAGGCCAGGCAAGTTATCTAGGGTGTCCACCATGAGGACAGACTATTGCATGTTGATCAAATGGGGCTCAACAGAGATGAGAAGGTCCCATTCAAGTTACAGTCCCCGCTGCAGTCAAGTCAATTCTGAGGCACGGCAGCCCCACGTGTCACACAGTGGAACTGAGCTCCCTAGGGGTTTCTTGGCTGTAATCTTCACGGAAGCAGATTGCAAGGCCTTTCTTCCATAGCAGCAGTGGGTGGGTTTGAACTGCCAACAGTTAGGTTAGCAGTCAAAGAAAACCATACACCTAGGGACCGCTTTAGTCACACTAATTTTTTCATATCATTGGACAAAGAAGAATCTCCCAATGGGGAAGGCTATGAAAATGCGAGATGCTGTTTTTTTCCCCTGGCCCCTCCCCCACCTTGAATTTATACAGCCAAAAAAAAGTGCAGGAACAGAATGAGGTCAGAGCTGCCGAGAAACACAGGTGGAGAATCAAGAAACTTCTCTGCCCCAGACACCTAGAGAAAGGCAGCTGTGAGACTGCCACAGGTGTTTTGGATCTTAAAATCCTCAAAGACATCAACTTGGAGAATCCATTGAAACCACTGGCTAACACTTAGGGACACTGAGTGTGTGCTAAGGGTGATGGAAAAATTCGGGACAGTAAGGGTTGAACCACATGACGAATGTATTCAGTGTCAGTGAAAACTGATGAAATGGCAAATATTTTGTGACTTATGTATTTCCCACCATAAAAAAACCAAGCACTGACCAACTATTTTAAGAAATGGTCCCCACATCCTCCCTCTGATGAGTGGGCGCCTTTAATTCCATGATCTTTAAGTCTGCCCATTCACCTCCAGCAACTGGCACAAGAATTATTTTTTTTTCTCCCAATGGTTTTTAGTCCCGCCACAGAGTGGCGCAACCTTCGCCACTGTCTAAGTCCAGCACATTTTTATCACACCAAAAAGTAACCTCGTACCCCTCAGTAGTCAAGAAATTGATTTTTTTAAGTTCATATACTGCAGTGCTTGTTCCATGAGTTGTCTTTTTTTGGGAAAAAAAAAAAAAAAAAAGAGCCACTCCCTATGTGGGAAAATCTGAATCCTGGCAATTCTGCTTTTGGTATATTTTCCACCGTCTGGAACCCAAAGAGCTCAGACACACACATATATACGTGTATGCGTGTACACACACATTGAGACCTGTGAGAGCCGGAATTCAAGGGGACTGCCCATGTTTCCTTGTTTTCCCAGGCCAAGCAACTTTTCCGCCTTTGACAAGGTGCGGTCTTACCACTTCTCTGTTGCTCTCTATAGTGGAAAATATGAGTTTCCCTTCTCTGACAGGATTCTGTCTTACACAGGTTTCAACTTTGGCAGGTTTTTACTGTGTATGTTGTTGTCGTCAATGGCCACTTGAGTCGATTCCAACGCCTGGTGACCTTACACGTGCAAAGGAAAACTGCTCCAAGGGTCTTCAAGGTTGGAACCTTCCTGAAGCAGACCATAAGGCCTGTCTGCCAAGGTGCCTCTGGGTGGGTTCAGACTGCCCAGCTTTTGGCTACTAGTCAAGCACTTAACCACATTATATATGTATTTTTGAAAAAATGCTTGTCACTGCTAGTCACTTAGGGCTCCACCTCTTCCTGCAATCAGAGCCTTCCACAGGCTACAAAGGATTTCCCTTATAAGGTAAAAGAGCCTCTCTAGATACATGTGGCAAAGCAACCGGAAGATGTCGGTTAATCACACAAAAATCTAAATGAAACCAGCTGTCGGGAGGCCGCCCCAGAAGTCTGCCACACGCCGGCTGGAAAGAGTCTTTTTTTTTTTTTTTTTTTTTCTTTCCTCTCCTGCCTCTGGGCTGTTCCTTTGCCCAGAAACCACCTCCCAGCTTCCCCTCTGCTGCCCAAGAGAAGCAGCCTTTGTAAAGGGAAGTTTTTAAGAATTCCTCAACTTTCCAAGTACATCTTTCCTCCCAACTGGCCTGTCCCATTACTAAGTCTTGGCACACATCTAAAGGCCATTTTTAAGCAGAAGTAATTGTCCTCCAGTGACATGACTTGGGATGAGATCAGACAGAGGTTATGTGTGAGAGGCCAAACCAGCTACTGTTTGAAGCGCACTCGCCTTTTTAAGGCCTCTTTTCACCAAAGCAGCCCTTATAGGTTAACTGCCTAGCAGCTCGTGCAGGATTGGGCTTCGGCCTGGCTTCTCACTGAGATCTGTCCATACCTTCCAACTCCTTTTCCTCTTCTGGATCTCCACCGAGCCCCAACACCCCAGCTTCCAGGACTCCTGGGATCCCATTCCCCCAACTTCCTTGCCTCTTATTCATTCTTCAAAACCCTGCTCAACTTCCATTGTAGACCTCCTTCCATGTCATGTTCCCATATAAGAGCCTAGAGAACTCCCATAACACTAACAAATCCCCCTCCATTAGGCTGTGAGCAGCTCCAGGGATAAAGGGAAAGGAAAAAAAGGCACTAATTGAGCACCTACTATGTGCCTGCCCCCATGCTGGGGTCCACACCCAGGGCCAATGAAGTAGGCACCATTATCACTTCTACTTTACCAGGTTCCAGAAGGTCAAGTACAGAGCTGAATAAATTGTCAGGCAGAATGCTAGGTGGGATGACACCAGAACCCAGGTGTCTTCCCAGCAGAACTACCAACATCTCTGTCTTGAGGGGCAGTGGGGATGGTAAGCCCCTTAGGTCTCAGGCCCCACCGCCTGCATAGCAGGCACACAGTAGGCGCTCAGAGGAGCTTTGGTAGACTAGTTCTACATCCCCTAGTGCCCGCAGGGCCCAGCCGGGAGAAACTGGCAGGAGGCTAGGGCAGCACTTCCGCCCCCCGCCCGCCCAGGGCAGACACGTCGCCGCCGCGCCCTGGGAAAGTTCGGCTGGAGCAGGGCTGCGCGGGAGAGACAGAAAGTGAGCCGCCCCCGTGCGCTCCGCCGGCCAGCCCCACACAATAGCGGCTCAGCTATCCTTCACCCCACTGAGCACTCTAGGCCAGGCGGGGGTCCTACCCGCATGGGGAGCGTTCTCCCACCCTGACCGCGCAACCCACCCTTCCCCCCATTTCCCAATCGCCCGCCCTGCCTCGCCCGGCGCCCCCACCCCAGCCCAGGAGGGAGAACTGCGGCGGACGATGGGTCTCGGCGGCGGCCCCGGGGGGCGGCTGCGACGGAGCTAGGAGTCGGCGGGGCCGGAGGGCGCGTAGGAGGCTCAAGCGGGCGGCGGGCGGTGAGCGCGGGAACCGGGCGGCGCCGGGAGAAAGGAAGAAAGGAGGGGCGCGGGACAGAGGACGCCGGGGGGCAGAGAGTCCCTGGGTGAGTGGGCTGGGCGGGACGAGGGGATAGTTAGGGTGGGGATCCCGGGGGGAAACGCGGGGCGCCAGAAGGGGTTTCAAAGGAAGCCAGGCATGGGGTCCCAGGTGGGGGGTGTCGGGCGCGTGGCTGGAGGAGCTGGGAAGGGGTCCATGGGATGGATACTCAGGGACAAGGGGCGCAGGGCTGAAAGCTCCAGAATGTGGAGCGCGGAAAGGGTCCCAGGGGGGAGGGCGCCGGTGGGGGGCGCCAGGGCGGGGACTCTGGGGGCCTGGAGGCTCCAGGCTGAAAGCTCAAGGCTGGAGGCACTGGAAAAGGGTTCGGGGGGAGTCGCTGGGCGGAGATCGCAGGGTCCCGGAAGGCGCGGGGCGCCGGATAGGGAGTCCTGAGGCCGCAGAGATGGAGGCACCAGAGCGGAGGTGCTGGGGTGGCAGAGCCCGGGCGGAGGTGGCGGGGATCGGAATGGCGGGGTCCCGGGCCAGGGGGCGACGGGGCGGGGATGCCGGAGTGGCAGGGCTCCGCGCGCTCACTTTCTCTCGCCGCTCGCGCTCGCCGTCCAGCTCGCGCTGCAGGCCCTGCGCGCGGTCCTCTGCTTCATCCGCCTGCTGCTGCAGGGCCTGGATCTTGCGCTTCACCGCCTCCAGCGAGTTGAGGCCAGCCATGGCGGGACGCGGCGGGAAGCGGGGCGCAGGCTGGGCTCGGCGACGCTGCAGCACCGCCGCCCCGGCCGCCAGCCTTTGCAACGCCGGCCGCCCCCGCCCGTCCCCGCCCCCGGCCCGACTGCCGTCGGGGTGAGGTCAGCGCGGCCGAGGCGACGTCACACCGCGGGGGCGGGCCTGACGTCTGCACCGCTGGCCACAGCTGCTGGAGAAGGCCCCAATTCGGGACATATTTGGAGAAAGCGCCGGGAAAGCTCCTCCTTTCCCGCGGGCGCGCCCTCCCGGCCTGGACCCGGCCGACCCTGCCGCGCGCGCCCCCATTACTGCACACGTACGTCGGAGGCTTTCTTCTCTGTCAGCTCTAGCTTCTCCTGTGCGTCCTTCAGTTCCTCCGAGTACTTTTCCAGCTCGTCTTCCGTCCCCTTCAGCTTCTTCTGGAGGTGTGTCAGCTCCTCCTCCACCTGGGGACAGATAGGGGCGCGTGTCAGCTTGGGGGGCACGTCCCTGCGATATAGGGGCATCCCCCATGTCCACAAGAATCCGCTATCTCTCCCTGGGCCTCAGTTTCCACGTCTGTAAAACAGAGGGATAACCAAGGTATGTTGCTGTTAGTTGCCCTCCAGTGATTGCGACTCATGGCGACCTTAGTGTGCGGCCTTGGTTTTCAAGGCTGTGAACTCTCGGAAGCTGGTCGCCAGGCCGTACTTTGAAGGTGCCTCTAGGTAGGTTTGGATCGCCAGCCTTTTATTTAGTAGTCAAGCGCGTAACCATCTCCTACATAGTATGTGTTGCTGTTGTTAGGTCGGTTTTGACTCAGTGACCCATGTGACAGTAGAATCGCATCACGTGACACAGCATAGAATTGGCTTTAATTTTTACGGAAGATCGATCTATGGATCTTTTCTCCTACAGAGCTACTAGATGGGGTTCTAACTGCCAACATTTCCTTTGGCAGCCAAGCACTTAACTGTTGTGCCACCAGGGTTCCTTACAAACATTGTTGGTCAGTGCTGTCAAGTCAGATCCAACTCATATCATAGTGACCCTATGTAGAACACAACGAACACTGACAGATGAGTGGTGGCCCCTTACAATAAACCCACTGCCATCGAGTGGATTCCAACTCACAGTGACCTTATAGGACAGAGTAGAACAACCCTATAGGGTTTCCAAGGCTGTAAATCTTTATGGAAGTAGACTGCCTCATCTTTCTCCCGCAGAGCGGCTGGTGGATTTGAATTGCCAGCCTTTAGATTAACAGTTGAATGCCTTAACCACTGCACCACCAGGCTCCTCAATAGTATGTCCAAAATCCAACCCATTGCAGTCTAGTCAATTCCAACTCATAGCAACCATATAGGTCAGAGTAGAACTCCCCAGGTTTCCAAGGCTGTAAATCTTTGTTGAAGCAGTCTGTTGCATCTTTCTTCCACAGTACGGCTGATGGGTTTAAACCACTCTCATTTTGGACAGCAGCCTAGTGTTGTAACCAATGCCCCACTAGGACTCCACACTAGTATGTAGCACTCAAAATTACTACCTGTTAATAGTGTTCTCAAGGTCCCTAGGTGCCACAAATGATTTGTGCTCAACTGCTAACCTAAAGGTTGGGAGTTCAAACCCACCCAGTGGTACCGTGGAAGAAAGGACTGACAGTCTGCTTCCGTAAAAACCCTATGGAGCAGTTCTACTCTGTGGCACATGGAGTCACCATGAGTTGAAATTGAATCCATGGCAACTAACAGTAGCAACAATATAATTTTCATGGTCCACATCCTTCCTGCAGCTCTGACCTGGGGACCAGCTGTTCCTGTCCTTTTGAGGGTCCCCAATACCCTTGGTGGGATCAAGTACAGCTTTTGGGAAACTGATAGAAGTCCTGACATATTTCCCAGAAAAACATTCAGTTTCAGGGAGTGTAGCCTCTTCACGATCCTGGGTTAAACAGAAAAGGGGTCTCATTTTTTGGGCCTAAAATCTCTCCCCACTTCTGTCTGTAAGCTATCCCCCTATAGGCTTACCTTCCTCCACACACACACACATACTGGCAGCCAGAGACACTTTGTAACCGTATATCTGCCCTATTGCCCTCAGGAATTGATTCTCAGACTCTCACCAAAATACCAAAGAGCTGTGGGGCTTAGACCCCCCCAATCCAGGACTTTGGGGGCTTGGCCAGAAGAGGTCCACTCCTCAAAGATCACTTTCGTTGAAGGCTCTGGTTAAATCTTCTAAATTCTTGCACATTTGCCTGTGTTTAAATTAAAATGGCCCCTCCCTTTCCCAAATATTCTGTCCTCTCCATTTATCTGACAGATCTGTCCCCATCCCACACTCCACCCCCCTTTGAGAAGCTCAGGTCTGAAGGATACAGATCCCAGACCCCATGAACTCTCCATCCCCCACTAGCCCCCACCATACAGGTTAAGAGTCAACTCCGGGATCCCAACCTGTCCCTTCTGGCCATCCCCACTGAGACGGTCATGTTCAGCCCAGAGTAGAGCCGTACTCTAGCTGTGTCTATCTGGTCGTTTGACCCCTGGTCTTCCAGGGTGGGCAGACATCCTGTACTCAGCCCTCCTTCATTCTCCTGCCTCCTCCTCAGCAGGAGGCCCAGAGAGGTAAAGTAACTTTTACCGGGTCACACAGCACAGGATTTAAACCCAGTGCTTCTGGACACTAGCCCTTGGCCCGTCCCTCACCCCAATCCTGTTTTCCTGACCCCTCTCTTACTTGCTTCTTTCTGTTCTTCCCCAAAGAGGCTGTGCTACAAGAGCTGCTGTTACTATGGCTTCTAAAGTGAGCTCTGAATCTGGATTGCCCACTCACCTGAGATGATATACCAAGTGCAGTGTACCAAGTACAGGGCACCAGGGTATAAGGTACCAGGTGCAAGGGACCAGATGGAATGTACCAGGTGCTGTGTGAATGTGTATGCATGAACTGGTACAAATTCTTAAAAGGGCCCATGCCTGGTCTCTGAGCCTCCCAAGTGTCCTACTGAGCTGGGGGCATAGAAGTGGCAGCTGAGGTGGGGGTGGGGAGATTTGGCTGAAGTCACAGTGATGGCCCCTAGCTGTGGTGCCAAGGAGAGTGGGGACAGCTGTTCTGTCCAAAGGCCTCAAGGGCCACCCAACTTCCTGTTGCAGGGATGTCAGTGGTGGCTGAGGGCTCAGCCTAGGGAGGGTGGGACAGCTCAGGCTAAAATCAGAATCTACAGGGTGGGACACTGACCTCCAGGCTGAGAGCCTGGGAGCTTGACTCTGCATCCTGTTGGTGTGACCCTTTGCCCTTTGCTGGCCTCAGTTTCCTCATCTACAAACTGAAAGCCCCCACGTGGTGGTCTCTGAACCCCAGCCTTGCCTGAGAAAATGAGCCAGTTTCATTGCAGATGTTCACTGCCAGCCACACCTCTGTGGTCACCTGACTTCTCTCCAGCTCTGTGGGAGTGGCATTTACTGGGCGTTGTCTAAGTACCTTGCTCTTAACACGTGAGAATGAGAGTAAAATTTTCAGCATTGGGGTCATTAGGGCAGAAAGATGGTTTGGGGTCTTGAAGACTTTTTCTGGCCACATTTAGACGGGAATGTTGGAGTTGGGGGCTGTAGAGTATTTAGAATGTACCAAACCCCAAATAGTCCTTCTGCTGTCGAGTTGATTCCGACTCATGGCAACTCCAAGTGTTACATCGTAGACCTGTTCCATAGTGTTTCCTTGGCTGTAATCTTGACCGAAGCAGATTGCCAGGCCTTTCTTCTGTGGTGCCGCTGGGCGGGTTTGAACCACCAACCTCTTGGTTAGTAGCCAAGTGCAAACCATTCACACCAGGCATGTTAAAATATCTCCCTAAGCCCCCATGCTACAGTAGGGTAAACTGAGCCCCAGAAAGGGGAGGGACTTGCCCAAGGCCATGGAAAATGGGGATTTCACCCCTTACCACTCCAAAGCTGGCTCGTTTGAACACTACCTGCTATGACCACTGCTCCCCATCTGCTGAGGGGGCCTCCTCCTGACCTTTGACACTCCACCCCAGCACCCCTGCCCTGAGCAGAGTCCTCACTGCTGCTCAGGGCTCCCTGGCTCTCTTTCTGCTCCTGCTCTGACCACTGAGGTTGGAAGCATCTGTGTCTGCTTCTGTCCGCCCTAGCCTGGGGGCTCTCCCAGGGTTAGGTCTGGGAGTGAGGTCATTCTGGGCCCCAGTATTACCCAGCATAGGGCTGGGCCTGATTCAGCAGGAGCCCAGGGGAAGTTTGTGGCATGAATAAATACCCCCACCCCAAATCCTCCAGTAGAAGGAGACCAGGTATGAAAATGAGTAAGAGTGGCATGAATCAGGTTTCTGTCCCTTTTGTCTGGATTCCATGCACAAGGTCTATGCTAGCGCCAAGAGCCTGGGAGCCTGGCCTAGGAGGCAGGGCCTGGTCCAGGAGGCGGAGTCTGGTCTAGGAGGCGGAGCCTGGCCCTGGTTCTATGAGGTCTTAGGCAAGTCACTGTCCTTTGGATCTCAGTTTCCCTGTCTGGAAAATGGCCAGGAGGGAGGGGACCACACACCTTTGTCCCTGAAAACACAGCCTTCAGGCAGGGCTGAGGCAGGATGTGAGGTCAAAGGCCAGTTGTGGCGGATGTCACTGCACTAGAAGGGAAGCGGCAGGAAGAGGGAGCTGGGCCTCCCTGTCCCATTCCCACACTGCACAGCAGAGCAGGAACTGGGAGATCACTGCAGGGTCCCTGAGGGTCAGGCTGGCCTCCAGGCTCGCACTGGCTGGCTGCCTGCAGCATAAGCCAGTCTGAGTAAATTGAGTCCCTTACTACCTCCTGCCTTGTTTCCCACCCAGGACTGCCATCTGGGGAGGGGTGGAGCTCTGATTTGTGCTTTGAGCCTTGGTGTTTTGAGTTCCATCAAAGCAGTCAGAAGGCATAGTTTGCTCCCATTTCACAGGCGAGAACATTGAGGGCTCATAGTGGAGCAGCAATGTGCCCTGAGTCAATCCTAGCAATCCTGAGACAATCCAGCTGGGATTTCAAGCCAAGTCTACCACAGTGGGCAACTTTGTGGAAAAAAAGAACAGAATGAAAATCCAGCTGGAGGTTGGAGAACTTGTACCTCCTGGCCACACAGCTGGCTGGAGGCTTTTGAGGTACCTTCTGTTCTAAACATTAGGGTATACCAGTCATTCACACTTTAGTGAGAATTAGAGAAATGAACTTTTTTTTCTTCTTCTTCTTTAAATCTCTTGCTAAGTCTCTTATGGTGAGGGCCAAATGGTGAATGAAAAATTTACCATTGAATTTTTGGGGCAGCTCCAGACCCACACAGGATAGGCATCTGTGCTTGCCAGGGAGGGGTCCAGGGAGGGAGGGCAATTTGTGGCAGGAAGTGCTGGGGCAGGGTTGGCCTGGGAGGATGTGTCACAGGTACTTAGGGCAGCCCTGGGACATTGGGGGATGGGGAGGCCCAATGGGACAGCTGGGCGGGGCAGGAAACAACCCCACATTGATTGAATGCTTACTCAGTGCCAGGCACCAGGCGTAGGGCCAAGGGCTCCACCTGCATGGCCACCTCTAACCCTCCCACGCAGCTGAGGAGGCACTTCTGTCACCGGCCCCACACTTAGGGCCACTGAGGCACAGAGAAGTTGCTCCAGGTGGCCCACTGGCTGAACTGTGGTTCAGATGAGACCTGTTTGAACTCAGAGCTTTCCCCTGAGAGCTGGCCTGGCACCAGGCTGGGCATTGGTGCCACCACTGGGTGTCTCCCTGGGTTTGTCTGAGACCTAGACACTTCTAAAGGCTGGGCAGTTGACCCCGGGGTGTGGAGGAGCCTAAGCAGGATGTTAGTGGGGGGGCAGAACCCCTTTCCTCCTCCCATTGGCTACTCTGGCCACCTAGACCCAGGACAGCTGACTTCTGCTTGGCCCAGGCCTCTGCCCACTGCCTTCCATTAGCTCCTTGGAGACCCTCTTCTGCCAGAGTGCCCAGCTTTGGGTCCAGGGTCTGTGTGGGCTTCTGGGCCACAGGGGTGAAAAGATACGTCCGTACCCTCTGCCTACAATAGGTCCTGCCTCCTCCCCAGGCCGGCAGCAGGGGGAGCAGGGGCTCCCCCAGAGATGCACAGAGCACAGAGGCTCCCAGGCCTACCCTCAGCTCTCCAGCCACCTGGCCCCCAGGCCTCCACCCTCACCCTGACACGTGTAGAGAAACACCTGAACACACACTCACCCTAACATACACACTCACCCTGACACACCCACACACTCACCCACACATGCCAATGGGAACACACATACCACACACAGATACACTCCAACACGCACAGACTCCAACATATAATCACCCCAACACACACACACACTAACATACACACACACATTCCAACACACTCCAACAGAAACACATTCATCCTGACACATATTCACCCAACACACATGCCAATGCAAACATACATTCACCCAACAGACGTACATACACATCATAACAGACACATACTCACCCTGACACACATATACTTTGACTCCTCCAAACAGATGACACTCACCTAGGCACACACACAATATGCCAACGGAAACACACTCACCCTGACACACACACTCACCTCAACACACACAGACATGCTCCAACAGAAATACACACCCATACACACATGCCAGGAGAAACGCAGTCAATACACACGTACCCAGTACACATGCCAACACAGAGACCACCTTGACACACACACTGGACACGTATACTTGACATACATACTCAATTACTTTCATGTCAAATTTTGCACAAGGACACACACAGACCCAGCCTCTCCCTTCTACACGCACACCCACACCAACACCTCATCTATATGCGTGCATAGACACACACTGGTACTCGTTCTCACCTCTCCTTGTATACACATGTTCTCAGTCACCTTCACCCCTCCGTACTCCTCCTGTCTAGTTGAAACACGCAGAACACATGCACATACACAGGAGTGCTCAAACACACTTTCTTGTCAGCTTTCTCACATATACACAGCATCAAGCCCAATGTACACAAACCCTGCTGGTCCCCTCAGCCCTCCATACACACTCACTCACACGCTTGCACACCCCCAGACACACACACCTTCCCCTTTTTCTCAAACATCCTTTTCTTCCTCTCCCCCCTCCCTTTCTCTCAAACTAACTTGACTCCTACTGTCTTAAGTGGTGATGCGTCCAGGGGCCCCTCCTCTCTAAGCCCAGGGAAGACAGTGGTCCCCTCACTCTCTCTGCCTCGCCCCAGCCCCAGGCACCACAGCCTCAGCGACTCCAACACCTGGCCCTAGGAGCCAGCCCAGAGAGGGTGCCGCCAACCCCAGCACGGCCCAGCATGGCTCACCTGCTTATACTTTTCCTCGGCAGCCTTCTTGTCGGCTTCGGCCTGCTCAGCGCGGTCAATGGCGTTCTCCTTGTCCAGCTTCAGCATCTGCATCTTCTTCTTGATGGCCTCCATGGTGGCGGTGGGGCTGTGGGGCCAAGTGTGAGGCAAGGGTGGAGGAGCAGCCTTTTAACCTCTGTGTGCACCGCCTCCTGCCCAGCCGGGCCAGCCACCACTCGCCTGCCCCGTCACAGACTTGGCTGCTCACCGGCCTCCCTGGCCCTTGCCTTATTTGGGCTTAGGATTTTCTTCAAGGGGAAAAAAAAAAGAAAGACAGAAAGGCTCTAGCCATTTCCATTTTTAACCTGGTGACATGGTCCTGTGTGCGTATGTGGGCCCAGGGTGGCCCAAAGAGCCCCCATGGCAGGGCCTGAGAGGGGTGTGTGAGGGGACGGCTGAGGAGGGTGGGAGGGTGGGGTGTCCTGTGCTATCTCCTCTTCCCTGTGGGGTGCCTCCACCAGGCCCCCTCCCATCTCCTGGCACCATCCCATGCATCTCCCCGGGTCACCCTCACTGCCTTCTGGCACATCTCTGCACCATCCTCTCTCCCTGTCCCTCTGAGTAACTGTGTCTCTCTCTGTCCCTCTGTGTCTGTCTGCCTCCCTCTCTGTCCTTCTCCGTCTCTGTCTCTGATTCTGTGTCTCCCTCCATCATCCTCTCTCTCTGTCTCTTTTGATTTTTGTCTCAAACTCTCACTGGGTCTCTCCCCATCTCTCTGCCTCTGTGAGTCTCTCTGTCTCCCTCTCTGTTGTTTTCTCTCTCTCCCTCCCTCCATCTGTCTCTCTCCTTCCATCTGTCTCTCTCCCTCTCTATCTCCTCTTCCATGTGTCTGTCTTTCTCCATCTCCCCTGCCCTGTGGCTTCCATCCCATTTGACTGACAGGGTAACAAAATCAATCAATCGTTTGATCCAGGGAAACTCTTGGAGGCCAGGCCAGGCCCAGCCACCAACCCCCTCCCTCCCCTGCTCGGAACCAGCAGTGCCTCTCAGCACCCACAAGACACCCAGTTCCCCAGCTTCCTTCCCACTGCAGTCTCCTGCCAGTGCCCCAGCTCTCCTCACCCCCATTCAGCGTTCTTCTCACCACTTCCCAGACACCACTGTTGCCAGCACAGGGCATTTGCACTTACTGCCCCTGTGCCTGCAGCACCTTCCTCTCTCCTCAGCTCTCTGAGGCCAAAAAAACCTCATTGCCGTGAAGTTGTTGGGTTTGAACTACTATCCTGGTTAGCAGTCAAATGCCTTACACACTACACCACCAGAGCTCCTTCCTTGAGACCAGAGAGGTTTATTCAATCACTCACCTGCTCAGCAATCATTTTATCTACTTAACATACACAGACCCTGACACACACACTCAACCCAACACACATGCACTCACCCCAACACACACACACACACACACACACATTCAACCTGTGTTGAGCCCTTGCAGGGTGCTCTGAAGAAGATGGGAATGATTGCAATTATTATTCCTATCCGTAGTGATACCGCCTCAGAAACCCTAAAGGGTCGCTATGAGTCAGGTCCGATTTGACAGCAAATAACAACAACAATATTGTTGTTAGTGGCCATTGAGGCAACTCTGACTCACAGCAGCCCCTGCACAGTAGAATGAAACGTTGCCCGGTCCTGCACCGTCCTTATGAGCGGTGGCGTGCTGGAGTCCCTTGCTGCGGCCATGGTGTCCTTTGGGTGCCTTCCAATCGAGGGGCTTGCCTCCCAGCACTCCTCTGGACAACGCTCTGTGTCAGCCACAGGGCTGTCATTGGCTGATTTTCAGAAGTAGATCACCAGGTCTTTCTTTCTAGTCTGTCTACTCTGGAATCTCCATTGGAACCTGTCCACCATTAGAGAGCCTGCTGGTATTTGAAATATAGGTGGCATAGCTTCCAGCATCATGGCAACAACGAGCCACCATACTGTGGCAGACTGACAGGTGGGTGGTTTATTATTATGACTAAATCATCGTTAATGATTTAGGGCTGCTTTGGGATAGGCCTGTGTCATAGTCTTATATGTGACCCCCTAGAAAATCAGAAAGTGCTTGTTAAATTCAATTAATTCAATACAATTAAAGTCAAACTAAATTGAGTTAAGTAGATAAAATTAATAAAATGAGAAATTTCCACTGACACACACATGTACACTTCTTTGCCTAGGAAATTTCTACTTATCCTTCAAGGCCTAGTTCAGATGACATCTCCTCCAGGAAGCCTTCCTGATTCCGTAGCCCAGCATAAAGGTCATAAGCTTCTACATCCCGGCTCTTTGCCACTAGACAGACACAGGATGTCAGGCCACCTCCCCCTGCCGTGCCCAGCTCCTACGCTGTCCCTGAAACCAGCTTCCTCCTTTCATCACTAAGAGAAGTTCAACCCCATTGGTGTGGAGGCCCCAAAAGGTGCAAACAGAACATTCAAGAACTTCTCTCATGCTCCAGGGACATTGGCTTCTCCCAATATTCGGGGGTTGAGGAGACTCCAACCCAGACCCCTCCCCAGCTCTGTTCTCCAGCCTTCCCTCATCTCACCCCTCTCCCATGCTCTGTGTTAAGACTCAGTTTCCGTTTGTGATAAAGGAGGCTAATTGCCTCTCACAAAATGTTGATGAAGATGAAAGGGCTCCAGATGGAGCAGGAAGTACCTTCATCTTGCACTCGGCACGTTCCTGAAGGAACTGCTAAGCGCTTCCCACTGGCGTTATACCATCCACCTTCCCTGAATCCTAACAGGTGGGGGATTATTTTTATTCCCATTATAAACTCAAAACTCACTGCTGTCAAGTTGGACCCGACTCATAGTGACCCCTCCTTGGGTTTCCGAGGCAGTATCACTATGGAAATAGATTGCCCAACCTTCCTTCCGAGGAGTGGCTGGTGGGTTTGAACTGCCACCCTTCCGGATAGTAGTCAAGTGCCGTAGGCACTACGCTACCAGAGCTCCCATTCCTATTATGCAGGTGAGGAAACCAAGTCTCATCCTCTAGGCCACACAGCTGGTCAGGGCCAGCCAGGTGAGGTGGCTTTAACCAATGTCCTGTTTTTACACAAATTCTAGAAATTGGCTACAGGTATTAGCGTTTTGTTACTGTTGTTAGTTGGGATCGAGTTGAATCCGACGCCATGGTGACCTCATGTGCAACAGAACGAAGCGTTGCCCAGTCCTGTGCCATCTTTGTGTGAATTGGCATGTTTGGGCCCATTGGCTACAGTGTTGAGCCGTCTCTTGGAAGGTCTCCCTTGGTTCACTGACCTTCTTCACCAAACGTGATGTCCTTTTCTACCCATTGGTCTTTCCCTGACAATGTGTCCAAAGTAAGGAAGACGTCTCACCATCTTCACCTCCTAGGGTTATTCTGGTTGTATTTTTTCTAAGACTGGTTTGTTCAATCTTCTGGCAGCCCACGGTATTTTCAGTATTCTTTGCCAACATCACAATTCGAATACATCACTTCTTCCTCTGTCTTCCTTTTCCACTGTCCAGCTTCTTCTGCATGGATATAAGGCAATTGAAAAGGCCATGAATGGGCCAGATGCACCCTAGTCCCTGTTTTACAGATGGGGAAACTAAGGTGCAGAACAGCTTGCCCAAGCTCACCTAGCTTGTGAGTAGCAGAGCTGGGAGCCGATCCAGCTGAGTCTAGAACAGAGCTGAGAGGATCCTAAGACCCCCTTCCCCTCCCTGCCTCACTCCCTCAGCTGTCTCAGTCTGGAGCAGCAGAGGTCAGCCTCCACCACCCCCACTGGCCCCAGAGACCCTGGACCAGTCTCTCCACAGGTGCTGTGGCTAATTCCAGGCCTGACACCACTGTCTCCGGAAAGGGATCCCTCCCGCAGGAGTGGCCAGCTTGCTCCGTGGCCTTGTAGGGTCCTTGGCCTGGCCTCTTGCTCAGGGAGCTCCCGGAGGAGGAATCTGATGCTGGGAGGGAGAAGGAGGCGAGACATGGTGCCAGAGCCAAGCTGTGCTCTCTGTTGGGGCTGGGGGCCTTTGGTGCCCCAGGGACACCCCAGGAGTCCTAGCCATGGCTACAAGGGTCATCCCGGTTGTCTGGCCCCTGGGGCCCTGGCCCAGCTGTCCAGGCTCTGTAGCCTAGTACATGAAGCTGCCTTTTATAGCTCAAAGTGAGCTCCATTCTGCTCATTGCTCCCCCTGTGGGGCCTTCTGAGGACAGAAGAGGGGGTCAAGTCCCCCATCACCATCCCAGCCACCTCACAATAGTGAAACGCAGGGTCATTTGTGAGAGGGCATTCATTGAGCATCTAGTCCCTGGGTGGTGCAAATGGTGAATGCGTTTGGCTGGTAACCAAAAGGTTGGGAGTTCAAGTCTACCAGAAGTGCTTCCAAAGAAAGTCCTGGAGATCTACTTCTGAAAGATTAAGGCCTTGAAACCCCTATGGAGCACAGTTCTATTCTGACACACACGAGGCTGCTGGGACTCAGGGTTGATCCTATGGCAACTGGTTTGGTTTATTACATGCCAGACCTTGTGTGGGCTTTGGGGACATTGTGGTGGACATGGCCCAGCCCAGGGAAGAAGCAACAAATATCTGAACATAATTATGGGATTAATGACAATGGGTCAAACTGCTGTCTCAGGTCAGGCTCACCCTAAACAGACCCTAAGACAAGGATTTGGGGACAAGTAATTTATCTGGCAGGTACCCTGAGGGGATACATCTGAGGGTGGGGAGAGAGGCAGGGAAATGAAGGGTATTAGATTGTTAGTGCTGCTGTAACACAAATACCGGAAGTGGTTGGCTTTAGAGAACAGACGTCTTTTCACAGTTTAGGCGGTGAGAAGTTGGAATTCAGAGTGTGTCTCTAGGGGGAGGTCCTTCTTTGTCTATTTCAGTCTCCTGTTGCTGGTTGCCGACCAGTTGACTCGGACTCACAGACACCCCATGTGTGCTGAGCAGAACAGTGCCCCATAAGATTTTCAGGGCTGGGACCTTTCAGAAGCAGACCACCAGACCTGCCTCCTGAGGCACCGCTGGTGGGTTCAAACCACCACCATTCTGGCTGGTAGCTGAGTACTAAACCATTTGAGCCACCCAGGGACTCCGAGTTCAGCTT